AATATGAGTATGAAGAGGTAGGCAGGAGCCAGATAATGTAAAATCTTGGTCTGGGATTTCTTCTAAGCTCAATTAAAAGACATTGCAGAGTTTTAAACAGAAAAATTGGCATCATATAATTTACATTAATAAAACATCGCTCTCTCTGGTTGTGTGGAGGATGGATGGATTGCCAGGAGCAAGAATAGTTGCCAGGACAAAAGCTAGATGATGGTGGCTTGGACAAAGTGGGTAACAGTGGAGATCTAGAAAAGTGGATGGATTCAGAACATATTTAGGAGTAGAATCTACAGGACTTGTTGATGGAATAGAATGTGTGGAAGGGGAGCAGAAAGGGAGGAGTCAAGGATGACTTCCAGATGGAGAGGAAGGCTGTAGCATCTGGACTTTTTGTTGCAATAAGCAAAGCTGGTATTCACCCTGTAGGAAATCTAGTATACATTTGCTCCTTCACTCCTACAAGATTGTGCTATCCAGCCCAATTGAGTCAATACTATATATTTTTTCTAAATCTTTGCCAACATGAGAAATGAAAATGGTGTCTCATTATGTTTTTTGAATTAACAGCGAGGTAAAACACTTGTTTATATATTTGTTGGCCATTTGTGTTTCCCATAGTTGTCTGTTTTTCTATCCATCTTTTTTTTTCTTTTCTTCTATCCATCTTTTCTTTACAGTTTACGAGACCTGACCACCAATCCCTCAGAAACCCTTTGTCCCCCCTTAGCTTTCTTGACTCTGTCCTCCTCTTACCTGCCTGACAATTCCTGCCCAATCTCCTTTGCTGCCTCTATTTCCTCAGTACTCTGCCGTAGTCCCACTGCACCTTGCCGAGCTTCTATCCTCAGTCCTCCTCTCTTCTTTCTATAAGTGTCCCTAGATGTCTCTTCTATTCATGTAATTCAGCTGTTTTCTCTACATTAATCATCCTAAAATCTCTATCTCCAACCATGACCTCTTTCCAGATGTTCAAAACAATGGTTCCAACTGTCTACTCTGCATTTTCATCTCTATGTGCAGCAGACACCTTCATTAAAACATGTCTAAAATTAAATTTCAGCCATCATTTCGACCGGCCAACTTTTCCTCATTTCTTGTTTATCTGCATAGTACCGAACTGATCTAGATTTCTCAGATTATAACTTCCTTCATTTGTTTATTTTTTCAACAGATATTTATAGAGTATCTGCTATGTGCCAGGCACTGTGCTGGGCCCTAAATTTTTTGACTCCCTAATCTTTTTCCTTGTATTAATTCTATTATTAAATCTTGTGAATCTTTCCTTTGTGATAATCTCTCAAATGTATTACCTCGCTTTCATTCCTGTTGCCATCTTAATTCCTAGTCTCTCCAGCAGGTCTTTGGCATCTCATCATTGCCTCATAACATTGCTTACTCCTCACACCTAAGTAAGGTGAATCACCTTAGAACATAGCTCTGATCCTCTCACTTCCCCCCTGAGAAACCATCTTTGATGGCACATTTACAAGTAAAGAAAAATCCAACTCTTCAGCCAACAATGATGGCCTTCAAACCATATCTCCCACTAATCCTTGCTCTGCATCCAACTCTCCATGAACATTTGGTTTCCTTCCTTCTTTTTGTATATTATTACTTTATTTAATATACCATTTTTATTAAAATATAATTTATATAGATTAAAATGTTTTCCTATATGCTTCTATTTACAGCAAATATCTATGAGATTAGTATTGTGAATTATTTTATTATCATTGCCACTGTTGAATATTTTGCTCTGAAAGACAATTTTTATACATATGTAACTTCCAGGTTCTATACCTATAAAGCATTGGTATTTCTTACATTGTCAAACAAAATTCAGGCAAGAATGTATTAGTTTCTGGGGCTTCCCTGGTGGCGCAGTGGTTGAGAATCTGCCTGCCAATGCAGGGGACACGGGTTCGAGCCCTGGTCTGGGAAGATCCCACATGCCGCGGAGCAACTAGGCCCGTGAGCCACAACTACTGAGCCTGCGCGTCTGGAGCCTGTGCTCCGCAACAAGAGAGGCCGCGATAGTGAGAGGCCCGCGCACCGCGATGAAGAGTGGCCCCCACTTTCCGCAACTAGAGAAAGCCCTCGCACAGAAACGAAGACCCAACACAGCCATAAATAAAATTTAAAAAAAAAAAGAATGTATTAGTTTCATGTATCACCCTAACTTGAAAGAGGGTACGCTATGGCAAAACAACATTTCTAATAGGCAAAATGAAATGGAGAGAAAATAATGGTAAGAGTTTAAAGAACTGCTCAGATTTTTTTTTATTTATTTATTTATTGTAATTTATCTTGATTTTTATAGTGGTGTATAGCTGATTTACAATGCTGTGTTTCTTTCCGCTCTACATCCACTTGATTCACTTACAGAGAGACATCTACATATTCTTTTTCAGATTCTTAACAGTCATGTATATTCTTTTCTGGTGATTACAGTGTGTTGAGTCGAGTTCTACATGCTATGCAGTAGGCCCTTATCGATTACCTATTTTCTCTATGGAAGGTTATGCATGCTAATTTCAACCTCCTGGTATATGCCTCCCCCCTCCCACCTTTCCCCTTTGGTAGCCATAAGTTTGTTTTCTAAATCTGTGAGTCTCTTTCTGTTTTGTAGGTTAAGAACTGCTCAGATTTTTAATCTCAGTGGAACAATATAATAAAGCCCATTAAAAATCTCAACTTATTTCTGAAACTCAATTTATACCTGTCTCAATAGAGCCCCATTTATTCTCTGAAATCATATGTTTGTTTTTTCTTTTTTAATTAATTTATTTTTCTCTGCATTGGGTCTTCTTTGCTGCACGTTGGCTTTCTCAAGTTGTGGCGAGCGGGGGCTACTCTTTGTTTCAGTGTGCGGACTTCTCGTTGCGGTGGCTTCTCTTTGTTGCAGAGCATGGGCCCTAAGTGCACGGGCTTCAGTAGTTGTGGCATGTGGGCTCAGCAGTTGTGGCTCACGGGCTCACTAGTTGTGGCACACAGGCTTAGTTCCTACATGGAATGTGGGATCTTCCCAGACCAGGGCTCAAACCCACGTCCCCTGCATTGGCATGCAGATTCTTAACCACTGCGCCACCAGGGAAGTCCCATGTCTTTGTTTTAAAGACTGTGAATTATTCCAGTTACATCAGTATCTTACAATTGTCTTTATTTTCACATAAAAAATATATTTGTATTTGTAGTAAGATATTTTTTGAATTTTATTTCATTTTTTTATACAGCAGGTTCTTATTAGTTATCTATTTTATGCATATTAGTGTACATATGTCAATCCCAATCTCCCAATTCATACCACCACCACTACCGCCCCACAACTTTCTAGCTTGGTGACCACATGTTTGTTCTCTACATCTGTGTCTCTATTTCTGCCTTGCAAACCGGTTCATCTGTACCATTTTTCTAGATTCCACATGTATGTGTTAATATATCATATTTGTTTTTCTCTTTCTGACTTACTTCACTCTGTATCACAGTCTCCAGGTCCATCCACGTCTTTACAAATGACCCAGTTTCGTTCCTTTTTATGGCTGAGTAATATTCCATTGTATATATATACCACATCTTCTTTATCTATTTGTCTGTCGATGGGCATTTAGGTTGCTTCCATGTCCTGGCTATTGTAAATAGTGCTGCAATGGACATTGGGGTGCATGTGTCTTTTTGAATAATGGTTTCCTCTGGGTATATGCCCAGTAGTGGGATTGCTGGATCATATGGTAATTCTATTTTTAGGTTTTTAAGGAACCTCCATACTGTTCTCCATAGTGGCTGTATCAATTTACATTCCCACCAACAGTGCAAGAGGGTTCCCTTTTCTCCACACCCTCTGCAGCATTTGTTGTTTATAGATCTTCTGATGATGCCCATTCTAACTGGAGTGAGGTGATACCTCATTGTAGTTTTGATTTGCATTTATCTAATAATTAGTGATGTTGAGCAGCTTTTCATGTACCTCTTGGCCATCTGTATGTCTTCTTTGGAGAAATGCCTATTTAGGTCTTTTGCCCATTTTTGGATTGGGTTGTTTGTTTTTTTAATATTGAGCTTCATGAGCTGTCTGTACATTTTGGAGATTAATCCTTTGTCCATTGATTCATTTGCAAATATTTTCTCCCATTCCGAGGGTTGTCTTTTCGTCTTATTTATAGTTTCCTTTGCTGTGCAAAAGCTTTGAAGTTTCATTAGGTCCCATTTGTTTATTTTTGTTTTTATTTCCATTACTCTAGGAGGTGGATCAAAAAAGATCTTGCTGTGATTTATGTCAAAGAGTGTTCTTCCTATGTTTTCCTCTAAGAGTTTTATACTGTTGGTCTTACATTCAGGACTTTAATCCATTTTGAGTTTTTTTTGTGTGTGTATGGTGTTAGGGAGTGTTCTAATTTCATTCTTTTACATGTATCTGTCCAGTTTCCCCAGCACCACTTATTGAAGAGACTGTCTTTTCTCCATTGTATAGCCTTGCCTCCTTTGTCATAGATTAGTTGACCATAGGTGCATGGGTTTATCTGTGGTATTTCTATCCTGTTCCATTGATCTATATTTCTGTTTTTGTGCCAGTACCACACTGTCTTGATTACTGAAGCTTTATAGTATAGTCTGAAGTCAGGCGGTCTGATTCTACCAGCTCCATTGTTTTCTCTCAAGATTGCTTTGGCTATTCGGGGTCTTTTGTGTCTCCATACAAATTTTAGGATTTTTTGTTCTAGTTCTGTAAAAAATGCCATTGGTAATTTGATAGGGATTGCATTGAATCTGTAGATTGCTTTTTCCCCTGTAATTTATTTCTAATCTCATAGCATTGTGGCCAGAAAAGATGCTTGATGTGATTTTAATGTTCTTAAATTTACCGAGGCTTGTAGTAAGATATTTTTAAATAGCTAAGTAAAAATAATTTAAGAATGGCTGCTGCTTTATTGCCATATTACATTTATTTTAAAATACATAAAGTACTTAGAAGAATAAAGGTATTGCTATCCTTTTATTGTTGTCATCACTGCTGGTGATAAGATTCTGTAGAAACACTGGAATAGAGCAGAAGGCCATCATTAATACTCTTGATGTGATTTCACAGCCCTCTGACACCTGCCTGGTAGGTCCATCTTCCTCCCCCAGACTATGCATGTCCTTAATTTGCAGCCTATCCCGATGTTAGCAGGGAGAGGCAGACTTGAGTTACTGCAACATTCAGGAGCCAGGCTGTGTCATCCAAAGCAGACCTGTTTGTCCTTTTCCAGGGAAGATTTTAAATAATCAAGAATTTTGTCTCTCTAGTCCTCTCTTTCTCAGGACAAAATTCCCACTTTCTTTAACTAGTCCTTGTTTAACAATATTTCTAGAAATAATACCTCCTGGCTTCTCACTTATACACAGTGTTAATTTGTAAAGCAAAATTTACCTTGCCTTTTCTTTACTTTCCATTAATGTATATTCTTTCTATAAAAGTTATTTTAATTTACATAGCTATTGTTTCAGGAACCAAAAATTGAGCATTTATTCCCCCAAAACTCTTTATTCTCAATATTTTTAATATAAGCCTTTTAATATATGTTTGTTATTCCTAGTAAACAATGAAGAAAATTTTATTGCATGTACATAAACAAAAGAAAAATTTTAAAATTAGGATAGAATGCATTTCCAAGAGCATCATTTTATAAATAAAGAACACCCAAGTAATGGATTGCAATGTAATTCCTTTTTATACAATATAGGCTCATTATTGAGATACTCCACAATTTATACTTTTATTATAAAAACGATAAATGATTCTGTGCTACTGTTAACGAAAAAAATCACATTATTTTTCTGAAACCAAAGTAATTCCAACTTTTGAGTAGAATACCTCTGTAGATATCCTTCTGTACCTTTAGTTATTTGTTTAAAGTAACTTTTAATAATTGAAGATGTATACATATTCCTTCAGTGGAAATAAATATATCTTATACATTGTTTAATGTCTTCTATCACATGTGACTAGTGAATTTAGGGGGCTGGTGGGGGAGGAGGGATGGGGGTATAAGTGATAATTCTATAAGTATTTCTTAATAGCATAAATATGGAAAAGGGTTTAGAAACTCCATCTGCTGAAATTCATGATTTTAAAGCACAAACCTGTGTCTGATGTCAGTTTCAATGCCTCTTTAAATATTTTATACATTTCACATCATGAGTTACAACAAAGAATGTTTTTAAAAAGTCATATAGAGCATGAAGTCACATGACTGAAATAGATAATTATTTCTTTATTAGTCTCACTGTCCATATATATAATGTTCAATTTTTATTTTCTCTTAATGAGAGAGGGGGAAATGTCCCAGGAGCTGAATGAATCAGGTCAAAACTGGGGCCATGATGATTGACTCATCTATCTCTAGTTCAACATTCAGTTCATTATTTCAGTTAAACTATAATGAAAACCTTAATTCATTCTAAATATTTCATAGGGCCAGATACTAGATATGTACTCAATCATGAGATATTATTTTTTAGTCTATTTAATATATCTCTACCTCAATTTAATGTTATAGTTCCCAAGACCTCAGTGTGTCCTATCTCTGAATGCTGAAAATATCTTTAGTCTAATCGTGTATTTTTGCCTGAGTCAGACAATTTATTCTTAAGTATGACATGCTTCCCTCAAGTTATGAAGGAAAACATTTTCAAAAATAGGTGTAGCAAAAACAGAAAAAAGAAAAAATCCCACATGTCTCCAAGTAAGTCAAGGCTATGAATCTCCCAAATGATAAACTAGCTACCTGCTTGGGCATGCTAGGATCTAATTTTTATAATTCATCGTATAATTAGCCATGTTCAGTGATTTTCAGCACGATGTCAGACTGTATGTCATGACAAGGATAGTTTAAAATTTACTGAGGTTTGCTTCTAGAAAACAGTGTACCTTATAAGTTAAAGAGGATGATTTTATACAATAGTAATCAAGGCCAGACATGGAAAGGGCAATTTGCTATGCCAAGAGTAACCAAAATATGGCCTTTTTTTCCAAGGAGTTCAGTGATGGTACAGTACAGTTCAGTGACGGTATGGGAACGAATATTGTATCACTATGATACGAAGTGTGGACTACCTGGCAAATGCAATGTCGAAAGAGTGATTAATTTTGACTGGAGTAGGAGTTGAGAAAAGCTTCCCAGAAGGAAGTAACGTTGAATTTGGCCTCAGAGGATCAAGTAAGCAGAGAAGGGGGAAAACCTTGAAGACTGGGATTGGTCATTTCAACAAAGATGCAGAGTCAGGAGAAAAGTAAGCCATATTTAGGGAGCAAAATTGTTTATTACAGGTAAAATACATGGTGACTCAGAGAGCATAAGGCCAGACATTAGGGTAGAAAGAGGGCTGAGATGTTGAAGGGCCCAAGGAACAGACAGAGGAATGTAAATCCTATTCTATATGCAATGCTCTAAGCGGGGAAATAGCACGATCAGTTTAGGGTTTGGCAAAGATAGTTCTAACGGCAGTGTCTACAAGCAATTAGAACAGAGATAGAGCAGAAGCAGGCAAAGCAGTGGAAAGTCAGTTGCAATCGTGTGGGAGAGAGGAAATGAGGTAAAGGGGGCTTGAAATGAGGAAGTGGCAATGAGAACAGAAGAGAGTAGGTGATTCAAGAGATTGGTAAAGTGTTACCAATGTCACAGGAGTGAGGGAGAGGTGGAGTCAAAGACAATCCTCAAGGTTCTTGCCCCACCGACTGGGTGGATAAAGATCAGACACATGTACGTCATTGTTACTTTGTAAAACCCTTCCTTCAGCCTGAACTATCCCTTCCCCATTTACCACCTACAGATAGTCCAGCCCTCTTTCAAAGCTTGGGGGACATTCCCTAGCTGCATAGCAGCTTCCCAAATTCCCTGTCCTATATACTCCACCAACACCCCAAATTCATCACATCTATACTTACACACGATATTATTTTTACTTCTGCTTTCTGTTATAAGTGATTACTTACATGTCTGCTTCCCCATGGACATATAAATGCTTTGAGAAACCATGTTCCACTCACCTTTGTATTTGTCATAATACCCATTATGGTGATGTTCAACAAATAACCTCTATGGCTATTCCATTTGAGACATTTCTCAATACAGTAAGTACCCTACATATGAATCTTCAAGTTGTGAACTTTCAAAGATGCAAATGTGCATCTGGTTCCAGCAAAGAACCAGAACCTGTGCAATCAATGTCAGGCGTGAGTGAAATTGCAGCTTGCCCTCTGTCTCCTATTGCTGACGATCCTTCAGCTCTACCATCTCCCACCTCCTCTCCCTCTTCCAGTCAGTAGTTCTTCTTGCCTGTCCACTCGATGCCAGCCCCCATATGCCAGCTGTTGTACTGTACTAGGGGACTTACTGTATTGTCTATGATCAAGATGATTCAAAGAGAGGCAATACTGAGCAATGACTCTCAAAGTGTGGTACATATTTTACTGGAGAAATATGGAAAATAACTTAGAATATGGAAAGGTTTTTAATGGTTTCTATTTTATATTCCTAAAATAGAATACTACACAGATATTTTAAAAAGAATGAACTACATGTAAACAACTAGGATGAATCTCAAAAATATTGTATTGAAAAGATAAGCCAAACATGAAAGAATACATATTGTATGATTTCATTTCTGTGAAATTCACAAACAGGAAAAGTAAATCTATGTTGATAAGAATCATAACAGTAGTTGCCTATAGAAGTGGGATTTGACTAGAATGGTGTGCAAGATAACTTTCTAAGGGGATGGAAAAATTCTATATTTTAGATTAAGGTATTGATTTTACAGGGTTTTTTTTCCCCAGAAGTGTCTGTATTATACCCTTAAGATTGATATGTTTCACTCTAAGTAAACATTATCTCAAATAAGGAAAAAAACGTTCAGGGAAATTTGAATATCATCTCAGTATTAGTTGATACTGAAGAATTATTCTTATTAATTTTATTAGAGTATGATTATAGCATTATGTAAGAATATGTTCATGATACTGAGAAATATTTACAGAAGTGTATGTGGGTGAAATGATACGATGTCTAGATTGCTTTAAAACAACTCAGAAAATACAAAAATGATTCAAAAGGAGATAATTAAAGCCAATGTGTCAGAATATTGATAAGTAGGATTCTGGGTGAGGGGTATATGGGGATTCATTTTACTACTGAATCTAATTATGTGTATATTTAAATTTTCAAAATACATTTTACAAGAACCATTTAGTGAAAAAATTAATTAGCACATAGATAATAAACTCCATTTTCGATCTACAACCATTTCTGTTGCCTCCAACTTGAAAATACATCCACAATACATCAATTCTTACCACCTCCACTGCTGCCTTCCTGAATGAAGCCACCTTCATCTCTCAGCAGAACTACTACAGTAACCTCCTAACCATCCTCTCTGTGTCCGCAGTTTCCCCATGATGCCTACATTCCACTCTAAATTCAGAACCATCTTTTCAATAAACAAGCTATAATACTTGTTTATTCTACTACTTAAAATTCTCTTATTTCCCATCTCTTGCAATGTAAAATTCAAATTCCTTGTGTTTTGTTTTAAGAACCTAAGTGAACTTGTTTTCATGTGTCCTCTTTTAACTTATCTCCTACATTCTCCCATTTCATTCACTCTGCTCCAGCCACAATGGCCTCCCTGTGGCACTCAAGAAAAATGGCAAGCATAAGCCTACCTCAAAGCCTTTGAATTTGTTCTTCCCTCTACACAGAAAACTCTTAGCCCAGGTGGCCACATGTCTCACTTCTTTACTCCCTGTTCAAATGTCACATGAGCAGAGAAACTTTCCTTGAGCACCCATATGAAATAGCACCATCCCACCCACACTATACATGCTCTGTTCCCTTTCACCTGCTGTTTTTCTTCCTATCTTTCATCACTATCAGACATGTTATGTACTTTTTTGTTTGTCTCCTCTGACTAGAATGCAAGTTCCTTGGGAACAGGGCCACGGCTACTTTTGTTTACTGTGGAATCCCCAGCACCTAGGATACTGTATGGCACACAG